GGTTTGTTAAGTAAATCGTGGAAAGTCGTCTACAAGGGCCACGTCCTCCTGAGTGCCCAGCGGAAAAGCTGCTCTGACGAAAGACGCAATGCCAACAAAGTTTTCTGGCTACCCCTGCTACTTGACAAATAACGAAAAAAAAAAAAAAAAGAACCTACGGACCGTACGCGCGCACAATCCAGCGAGCTGCACCATGTCGCAGAGGAGTGCTCGAACTAGTTACTTAGGATCAGACTTGTACGTAGTTCAATTACTCTACTCAAGTTACTGTAGTTTAACTACTTTTCTGAGTAGTTTAGTAACTTTCAATTACATTTTTATTTTGGTAATTAGTAGTTTACTTTAATTACTTTTTCTGAGTAACTTCTACTCAAATTACAAATTACTTTCGAATCTTAGTGGTTGTTTTGCCTATCAACAAACATTCCTGCATAAACGAGATAAAATGTTTGAAGATCAGGTGATATCTGCAAAGAGGGGGAAGCATATGGCGTAGGAAAGGAGGGGGAGAAAATGGGTTGGAGAGTCCGAAACCCCCCCCCCCTCCCCCCCCAAAATGTTCCCGAGCCCCCACCATCCCTCTGTAACAACACTGCTACGAAGCGCGGGGAGCGAACAGGCGCGACGCAAGAGAGGCCGAGCAACTGCGTGCGGTATTAGCGCCGAAGACTGGCGTTTCTCTGTGTCCCGAAGCTCAAGAAGACATGACCCACTTAAAGAAAGGGCTGGTCCCCGCTTCTCCTCAACGTAGAAACTCTCGCCCACTACAGGAGCTGCTCACACTGCATTTCCACTCAAAGGAGCCAACAAAATGCAGCACCTGCTCTGAAGCTCATCTGGTGCTCCCGTAGTTTGTGCTGTACTCGAAGAATCGCGTGCTAAAGGGCAACGCAAAGGGGACCCTTATGTGTTGCCTTTCCTCCCAAAGCATAGAATATGCAGACCTTCAAAGATTTGAAGATCGTTCGAGAAACCTTAATAATTCCCCCAACGTTTTTATAAAAAAAAAAATAATAAACAAGCAGTGTTGGAGAGTACTTTAAGTACATGGTACTTAAAGTACTATTATTTAGAAACCTTGTACTTTAAGTGCATGGTACTTAAAGTACTATTGTTTAGAAACCTCGTACTTTAAGTACTTGAAGTACATTCTCTAAACATGTACTTGTACTTTCCGAGGAAAGTAAAACTCCCGACTTTAACATACATTCCCCAAATTTGAAAAAAAAAAAAAAAAAATGGCGTATCGTCGTCTGAAAACGCGCTCTTTCAAGACGTCATTAGGTCATTTCTCTGAGTGAGGTAATGGCGGCTATAAGACCGACACAAATAAGTCCCTTCTAGGGTGATTGTGTTATGTAGTTTGTCAGCGAGAGTGTAACAACTACTCTGTGGCGAATTGACTTTATATAGTATTAGCTGCCATTTCCGTAAAAAACTGATGCACCTCCGATTACCTCTGGAGCAATGCGTACCAGATAAAAAAAACACTGTAATGGGAATGAAATGGCATCATGAAAGATTCTATTAAAAATACTGGTACTTACCTTGAAATGTATTGTATTTTAGTACGTTCCTTCAAGCACATTGCACCCGGTGTACTTACTACTCTACTTGAAATGCATAACCTCTCACTGCCTTTGTACTTTACTGCAAGTACTTTTTACCTGTACTGTACTTTACGCACACTGTAAACAAGCAAACGCTGTCTAAAATCAAGCTCGGGCAGTGCTAAGCCTCAAAGTAGAAATGACACATTTGCAGTACATCATTGACCAAAAAACAAGAAAGTACAAAACAATTAGGCACGCAGAAGCAGTACCAGCTTTTAAAGCATTTCTTTTAAAAAACAATCCGATCCATATTTCGCTAGCACATTTTCGCTAACGGATCAAAACCTATGTACTTTCTTTTTACCATAACAAAAACTTATAAAAGTAACTTCAAAGTAACTTCAAAAATAATTCGCTACTTTTTTACAGTAATTAGTAATTTACTCAATTACTTTCTATTTGAGTAATTTCTATTCTACTCAAATTACTTTTGAGTAGAGTTACTCAGTAACTTAACTTAATTACTTTTTTTCAGTAACTTGTACATGTCTGCTTAGGATATACTGTTTTTAACACATTCAGTCTTGCTTTACCCGGGAGTGCAGTAATAGTGCACCATTTTTTTTTTGGTCCGTCCAATGCTGCTTGTCCCTAAAGCTAAGGGTGTTTACTTTCTCAGTATTGCTCATAAATTAGGTTTCTGTTCAATAAACAAAATCCATAGATCGAGGCATATCTCAGCCGTGCCTCTGCCATGTTTTGTTTGTGCACCGGAATTAACGTTCTGTGCGTCTTGTAAGCGGGTAAACTGTATTACAGGGTCTTAGTAGATATTTGGGCTTAGCAATGCGATGAAAAAGTAGCAATCGACCCAAAAGTACTTTTTAAACATAAGTGTGTTAGCATGGTTTGTGAACCTATACTATTCTATCATCAAAAGTATGCCAATATTTGGACTTTTTTTTTGTTTTTGCTTCCTTTATTTTAATGTTCATTTGTTGTTTTTTTTTAAAACGAGGGAAGCGTTTTGCCTGCTGTGGGGTCGGTATGTACTTAATAAGCAAATAGTATACCATCGCCACAGCAGGATCCAGCGTACCGTCCTTCGCGATCGATTCAGAGCACTTGGCATGCCGATAGTGCGCTTCAATCCGAGGACCTTCTCTGCTCTAATGTTGATTGTTCCACAGCCCAGTGCGCGACCTCAACAACCCCAGCACGTATGAGTTTCTCGCTCTACTAAGAAAAAAGGCACGCGCCATACGTAAAAAAACGCTAAAAAAGACACCGGCCAGAAGCCCTTCTCTTGAAGGGTTAATAGCCTTACATGGCATCGGGTATAAACACCGCCGATCAAAAGTTCAATATCTAACTGTCACGTTGAGCTTAGCACGTGCAAAGTTTCGCTGCAGTCGCCGAGCGGTTCACTCCCCGTAATACACGACGTCCCTGGATGAACGCCATACGAGGTAGCAACAAGTCCCCCTTCCCCACCCTCCTCCCCTCGCTCCTATCGTCTGCTAGCCGGCGGTCCGCCATGTTCTTCCTGGCTCGCCCACCATGCCTATGATCGAAATAGTCCTTGTTACATTGGCGGGTTATGTCACGCGACAATTCCGAGAGAACTACGGTTTTTGAACGCCAAGGTACGAAACTGTTACTCGAGAGTGAGATCGAGTCAAATCCGCCATGCTCTTCCTAACCGGAAACGGAAGGCGGCCACGGGCCAATGGGAGAGCTCATCGATCCATCAATCTTAGTCGCTACTTAGCAGAGCGTTAATCGTAGGCCTCGACGATCGTGGCGCCATCTGGTGGCGCACATAAGAACCAAGGACGAAAGTTGGACATGTCCGTAGGCGGCATTACGATACCTGAGCATTCTTACACCGTTGCTCTGGCCTCAAGCAAGTACACGAGAACCACATACGGATTTAATGTCGCACACTGTCTCTATCTCCTATCTGTCAATCTGTCTCACCTCGCTTATTTTTTTACTCGATTTTGCGGTTCCTTACTATAGCTTGTGTCAAAGCTAAACAAAAGTAAAAACACCACGGTCGTTTTTGACGATCAGATCACGGTGCTCCTATTTTTTTTAATTTAATTACATCATTGAAAAATTAAATCTAAAAGAAGTGCTTATGAATGCGCTTCTTCTCAGAAAACCGCCGAGAAATAGTAGCGATGCGATAAAAAAGGCTCGGAGTGAGAAATGTCATGTGTGCTGGGACACCGCGCTTGTAAAACGTCGCACTCAACATCCCAACTCAGATTGTATGGGTGCCTTTTGGGATTCGTCATTCGCAGCGATTGCCTCACGAAATGCAATCTGAGAAATACGACGTAATGACATTTACATCGAGTTCAAACTATGGAAATTTTGTGTCAACCTGTAAAGCCGGGGTCACACTGCTTATACGCCATACAAAAAACCGTCTCCATACAGATTCAAACACGAGTCACCTCGGGATTCGTACTTTGAATGCCGTATAACAATGAGTTCAAGGAGGAAACTTGCCACGCGGCATTCGAACCACGGACATTGCGGTAACTCGTGTTTGCAGGCTGTCTTTTTTAAACTTTCGGCTATGTTCTGAGTTCTAGATTCTAGGTTCTAAGTTCTAGGTTCTACGCTTACTGGCACACCTGGGACTCAAGGATACTCAGACGCAACGCCACTGGCCAAGAAACTCCTTTGTCGCGGTGCAATTTCAAGGACAAAAGCGATCATTTTCATTCAATTTCTCCTTTGCAAAGTTTGATGACGTAACGTGGGGATCGCAGTACACCCAAGTGACGATGTTTGAATGCGGTTCATAGATTGGACCCGAGCATTGCGTGGGCACTCGACTTGGGCTCGTGATAATTGATAGCTCGAGAAGCATTCGGGTAGTGACCCGTGTCCAATCGCTGCAACGACGCCAACAGCCAAGCCATAACAATGTCTGGAACTCAGCGCGTGTCCTGCGCTTTGCCAATCCTAGCGCGTGACTATGATCTACACTGGCGGCATATAATCGGCTCTAGATCACGTGGCCGCTTGTTCTGGCTGCGAGTTGAGGGGGTGAAAAACGAACGCGTGTTTCGTAGGTCATTAACGTTAGGGATCCGTTTTAAGCGGCATTTGCGCAAAGTACAAAAATTGTTGCATCGCTCCTTTAAGTAAGGTAAGGTAAGGTAATGTAATACTTTGGTAAACTGTGTTTAAACCAACCATGCGTGGCTAAGCTCAAATATCTATGGGGTTTATTTTCGTCCAAATCTGCATCCGAACTTTACAGTCGAAGAGGTGGCGCTTCACCACATCGCAGTGATTCGATTCCCGCTATTTAAAACTTCCGCCTTGTATAACACAGCTTATTAGATGTGCATTCGGTGTTTAACAATACAATAAATTCTAAACAACACAAAATTCGTATTCTGGAAGTCGCAAGGCAAAGCTTACCGTCCCGGCGGGTCTCCGTTCTCGTGGAAGAAGACGGTCTCGTTTCCCCAGTCAAAGGTGACGTTCATGAGGTACTGGAGGAAGATGGAGCCGTTTACCGGCACCATAGCCGGGCACACGCCCGACGTGTTGGGGCACAGGTCCCGGTGCATGTTGTGCAGGCCATGAGCCATTGTGTAGATGGACTTCTTTACGAATTCGACCTTGGTGTCTTGCTTGTGGCCCTCTCTTAGCTGCTCTTTACCTGGGAGGGAGAAAAGGCGCCGTTGGCTCATGGCACGGCATTTTGGAATCCCACTGAAGCGTGCGAGTGCATTGCTGCGTCATTCCAAAAAAGCTCCGCGCAGCGGTTTGGAAGACACAACATTCCCTGACGGCTTACGAAACACATGGTGTTGCGAGTATTGAGCACCTTATCATTGTCTGCTGCTAACGAGATTGCGGCACTGGCCGATAAGAACGATAAGGACGCTAACACGAAATAGGCCGGAAGTGTAGACTGCGTGTCTTAAGCTGTGAGGGACTATGGAAGGTCTTCTGCAAAGCTGTATCATTTACAAAACTTGAGAGTTTGGGGATTGGGGTATACGCATTGCCAGGTGCGACCCTTACGCACAATGCCGCAAAAACCGCGGAATCATAGTCCTTTTGATTTTGTGTTTTCTTAGACTTCCCTTCATCTAGCTCAGTACGAGGTTCCCTCCTCGACGCTTTACGAAATGCCAACATTCCCATAACGAGCGAGAACAATGTATTGGTTTCATCTGGAGCGCGGCAAAAAACAAAATTCGTTTACTACATTATTATGATTATTTTTTTTTTTTAGTGACAACAAGTTTAGTTGCGTTAAATCCTTGAGGTATAGATTTCACTCACCGTGCAGCCTGTACACCTATATGTCTAACCACATTTCTGCAGTTCCAGCAAAACAGAATCGTACAAATTGAACTTTAGGAAGCATAAAGCTCGAAATAAATGTTCATACCTGCTCTCTTTTTCCCCCGTGTTTTTTTTTTTTTTTTTCAGGCCAATGGTCAAAGCGAGTCCTATCTCTGTACAGGAAGATTGATACTAAAGTCCCTCGATTAACACTTTGCTAAGTAGCAACAGGGATTGATGTGCTAACACGCTCTGCCATTGGTCCGTGCCCGCGTTCCATTTCCGGTTAGAAGGAACACGGCGGATTTGACTCGACTTCACTCTCGAGTAACGATTTGGTACCTTACCATTCGAAAACCTAAGCGCATCCAGCGTTCTTCTATCTGGATTTTCACGTTACATGACCCGCCGGAGTAACTGAAAAGATTTCGAACACAGCCATGGTGGGCGAGTTAGGAAGAACATGGCGGACCGGCGCTCTTGCAGACGATAGGAGTGAGGGGAGGAGGACTTGTCGCTACCTCGCATAGCGTTATCTAGGGGCGTTAATTATTATCAGATGAAAGCAACCCCGTTTTCCCGTTTTTAGAACAGCGCAGTACATACGCACACTTTTTTCTCAGCACTACCGATAACGCTATTTCTGGCTCCTCGTTCGTTAAGTAATTTCGTAAATCGTCGTGATTTGTTGTTCGCATCCCGTGCGGAAAAGTATTTGTGCCAGACTTCTTTATAAACTGCCCGTCTATTATTCAAGTATATTCGCCGCGAAATAGTGAGGAACGCTTAGCGAAACTAACGTCTTATATTTTGACTATAGTAATTCCTGGACAAGGGGAACAAGGGGGACAAAGGACAAACACAAATCTTCAAACATAGCTAGGTGACTGATGCGTGACCAAAAAATTCGCCTGGTTCTGGTATCTGACAAAACCCGGTTGCTCTACTGACGTCTAACTCCTGCTTAGCCTAGTCGGTAGAGCGTTCCATTGCAATTGGTTCGATCGGATTTTTTCGGTCGAGCATCAGTCAGCTAGCTGCGTGTGGAGATTTATGTATGTCCTTTGTCCCCCTTGTTCCCTTTTTCCAAAAATTATGGTTGTTATTCTTGTCCAATTCGTTTGCCCGTTTGCATTATTTGCATTATCATCATAGTCTTATATTTTCTTGCATATATGTAGTAACTGACAGTAACTGAGGCTGTTTGGTTCGCGAATCGATTTTTGGCGTTCTTATCAGATGATGCCACAGTCTCGTTGGTTGGGTTAGCGATAATAATATGTTGTAATATCGTCATAGCCTCCCTTTTTTAAGCTTTCTGTCCCAGGCAAACTTGTAGATAACAAGCTACAAGTAACTGATTACTTCTTTTTTTTTTTCATTCATTCATTTAGGTTACCTTCAAAGCGCCCGAGGGCATTACATGAGAGGGGGACTGGAATACAAGGAAAGATCGGAGAAAAAAAAAAGGCAAAAACACTTGACATAGAAAACAGGGTGCGACAGATCGCGCACGCTCATACACGAGATATTAACATATACATAGCATCTACACGCCAAAAGAGCAGATGAAATCAAACGACTTAAATATTTCCTCACATGCACTCTTAAACTGTGTAGAATCTTGTATGCTTACAACATTTTCAAGGAGCTCATTGTATTCGTGAAGGGCCAACATTAAGAGAGATTCGAAAACTGCTTCGTGCGAGTTAATTAAGGTTAGCCTGAGTTTGTGCTAATGGTCGTGCTGAGGAAAGATTCGATGCGGAGGAAGTAAAAGTTCTCCTTTAAGGTATCGATTATCATAATACATTCGGTGGATAAAAGTTAACCTTGATACTTTGCGGCTATTGTATAAGTGATTGAGACCATCTCTAGATTTTAATGCTGTCTCAATAGACAGGGAAAAATAATTTCTAAAAATAAAACTAACGGCCCTATTCCGGACAGACTCAATTTTTTTTTTTTTTGTATTAAGTAATTTTGCCAGGGACTCCAAATATTGATAGCTCATTCTAGCTGTGAACGAATAAAGGATATATGAGCTAACAGTCGGACGTCACTATGTGCCAAAAAGAAATTCCTTTTAAAGCATCCTAGAGTGCGATTTTCTTTGCTCACAATATAATCAATACGCATTTTCCGGTCGAGTTTCTCAGTTATAGTTACTCCGAGATATTGATAATGTGTTACCTTTTCAAGAATTGAACCATTAACTTTATAGACAAAGATAGATTTCAACTTTAACGTAGCTAAAAAAGAAATTTGCTGTGTGAAATCTTGATACTCGTTTGCCATTTCTCGCACCATAGTGATAAGGAATCGAGGTCACGCTGAAGGGCCGAGCTATCATCTTTTGTAACGATGCGCCTGTGTATTACGCAATACTCTGCAAAGAGCCAAATGTTTGAACAATGAAAGTCGGAAGATCATATATGTAAATTAAAAAAAGAAAATGACCAGGGACTGAGCCCTATGGAACTCCGGATTTTACTCCAATAGTGCGGGACAGGTCTTTACGGACCGAGTCTAATTGCGTTATTTCAAAAATTAATTTGTTGAACCAATTGGCGACAGACTGGTCAATATAAAGAAATTCAAGTTTTCTTTAATAATCGCTGGTGCGGGACCCGGTCAAAGCCTTTCGAAAAATCGATGTGATCAATTACATCTTAGTGTAACGTTTTAACGCTTCAATTACGTTTTTTTTTCTGCGATAACGTTAGCTGTAATTCAATTACTATTTTGTAATCAATTAAAAGCAATAAATGATATGTCTCCGAAAGGGGTAAAATTATGGAGTTCAGCTTATTTACGTAAAAATCGCTCTGTCTGCCCGTGCGTCACTTTTCTATTTTTCACCAACGTTGGAAACGTTAGGCGCCCGTTTCCGGCTTGAGCGGCGTTGCCGTCGCCGTCGGCGTAATTGCTCCAGCCGAATGCAGCTAACGGAATTCCCGGTTGGGCCGATATGCGGCGCCGCGTCGCTGGCTTATCTCTCGTACATCCATCCATACACCAGATCCGTTGGTCTACCCAACCGACTCCTACCAGACTCTAATGCTTATATTCGCCGCTGTGCTTTTGAGCGCTGGCGTCGTGTATATAATCTTCGCTGCCAAAACCGAAACACTCTGGGCTCTTCGACCAATGATCAGTAAAGGCGAGGTCAAAGGACCGTTTCTGTCTTTGTTTTGTTTGCGCTAGGCACTCCTTGCTTTCAAACTATTCTGCGGGTGTTGAAATCGAAAGTGCAGATTTTACGGCAGTACCGAGTACGGAGCTGCGCGTCTGCGAGCAGATAATGATAAGAGAAGTCTCTAGGTCGACAGACATTTTGCCAAGACTGTTGCGTGCCTCATGACGGCCAATTACGGAGTTTACTGCGCAACAAAGTAATGTAAGAATTCTTTAAAAAAAAAAAATCTCGGGGTGCTTATTTTTTTGGTTTCCAACAGACGACAGGTGAGCCTCTACATCAAACTTTTTGTCAGCGCTCAAAACTGGAAGTATTGAAATATATTATCTTTCTTAATCTTTCTATTGGAGCATCGAAATGGATTGCGTATGCAAGTCGCCAGGACTCTGAAAGTCTGCCGATGAACAAGCTGCGCCAGTGTCGTCTGTGCAGTGAGCACGCCGGCACTAGCGCGTTTGCAAGCTGTAGGAAGATTCGTTCGAAGAAAAACGCGTGCTCCACCGTTTTTGTTACGAATCCGTTGCTGCAAGGGCTGGTTCCTCCAGGTGAGTGTACAGGGCAATCTTCAGTTAATTTGACAGCTTCGTTTCTATATCTCAGGTTAGAGTATGATAAGTGCTGTTTTGTTAGCTTGTACATTAAAGTAATTAATTTTGTTTTACATATTTGACAGCGATTACTGCGTTTACTGCCTACAACAGTTCTTGGTTTCCCTTGGAGGGTGGTGGACTGCCAGTGGAGTTTGTAAATACCTGTTGAAATACCGCAAGTCGTTTGAATGGCGTTCAATAAAAAATACATTTCATGGAACGTGCCGTTTCTGTTTTATTGCACTGGTAATATCAAGCGAAGCGCATCTGCTTGTCTGCTCGACCGGTGCCGTGCTGGCCGCTGCGGCCAGCACGGCACCGGTCGAGCAGACGGCACCAATCCAGCAAACAAACCGAAAACAAAAGAAAGAGAGGAGGGAAGGCCAGGAGGGCGCACGCCAACAACAGGTGTGGCGCCATCTGGCCGTCTTTCTCAAAATATTTTCGTCTGGCACCGTACGTATGTTCGCCTTTCTACCACTAGGGCCTTGTGGCGCTAGTTTCTCCTTACCACGATGGAGGCTGGAGCTGCACTCGGCTGATCGCGCGTTGCATTATGGGACGTTTCCCATTATG